TGGCTCGGGGGCTTTCCTTTAAGGGGGGGGGTTTTATTTTCCTTGTTTTTTTTTTTTTACGTTTTGGGGGATTTGGTATGAAACTGGATTATAGGAATGTAGGCTTTTTTAAGGTTAAAAGGAAAATCTTAAAAACGGTTTTCGGTTTAGAGGTGTGTGATGTGATTTATTTGTGTTTATTTACTTTTTATTTTTTACTTTTAAAACCTATACTACCGGTAAATAAGGTTAATATATAGGTAGTAACGAAGGTTATGTTTGTTTTTTGATATTTGGGGGATATTACATTTATAATTTAATAAAAGTTATTTTAGATATTTAATTAATTAATTAAAATATCCGGCTATAAATAATTCGTAAGAATTATAGATATACTTTAATTATTTAAATAAATAAGGAAAATTTTATTAACGATATTTAGACCGACTAAAACTTAAATAAAAAAAACGAATTTCTAAATTACCGTTAAATAATAATAATATAAAGATTAAAGAACTTTAATAAAAATCGAATTTATACTTTTGATATAATAATCGACGTACTATATACTATATTATAAGGTTAAAAAGTATAAAGAGGATTAAATATAAATAGTATTATACGCTTTAATTACTTTAAGAAATAAAAAGTATATTAGCGGTAATATTTTAGGAGGTTAAAAAGGAAGGACCGGCTATATCCGGGTTTAGGGAAAGGTTAAGCGGCTAGTCGAAGCCTAAGGAAGGATCTAGGAAGGAAAGATCGGAAGGAATAGCGGAAGCGTCCGCTACCGGCGGGCTATATAGGGTAGTAGGCCGCGCGAAAAACTCTCTCTTTTCCTCCTTAAAGAGCCGAGATTTGTAACGAAAAGTAATAAAGGCTCGAGCTTTAAAGGTATATAATTATATTTTAAAATAAAAAAGTTTATTTAAAGTAATTTACTTTTTGGTATTTAAACGTTTTTTCTTTTTAATTAAAAGACGGACTATAAGAATAGTTAGAAAGGGGAAGGGAAGGTTAAAAAAGAAATTTACGATTTACGCTATAAATATTATAATAGGAACGACTCGAATTAATATACGGAAAGTACCGGTCGTATCGAGGGGAAGCTATATATTAAAGATTATTCTCTTTATAATAAATATATTTAAGTATAATAAAATTAAACTTTTTAAAAAAATATATTTAATTATAACGACGGTCGGTACTCGTACGAGTCGATTTCCTTATACGATTAAATATAACGGTTAGGATAAGAGAGGAGAGGAATTTATAGTAAAGATACGGAAAAAAGGGAGATCGGTAATTATTTTAGAAATACAGTCGCCGGGGCGTTAACCTAGGAAAAGGAGCATTATATTATGATTAACCTAACGGCAGGTCGCGCCATATATAGGGCGCAAGTCGCCCCTAATTAATTATTTAAGAAATCAGGGAATAAGCCGATTAGGGCTAGGCAAAAGTGCTATAGCGCTAAGGCTTACGAGCAGTCTACAGGATGCAAGATACTAGGGATAATTAGAGGTATAGCACGACGAGTACAATGCAGATGTAATATGCTAGGAGTAATCGGGCCTATAGCAGGGCGAGCACCTTACGGCCCTAAGGTCTATATATACGGAGGAACTGGCTAGTGTAGATAGATAGTTCCGCAGTATGTAATTTAAGCTTGTATTTACGGTAGCTAGTATTTACATTGAGATATCTTGTTGTGCACTATTTAGCTGCACCGAACTAATTGTCAGAAGTTACCTTTAACTAGTATCCCTTTCAGAGGTTCTGTACAGGGGTTCGTCACAGAACCTTACTTTAAAGAGAGAAATATAATATTCTTTTTTATATATAATTTATATATTAAAAGACCTAGCAAGAAGCTAGACTATAGGAGAGTAGGCCCGTTTAAGGTTAAAAGGAAAATTTTAAAACGGTATTCGAATTAAAGTTATTTAATATAATACGTTTATAAATATATACTTTTTATATTTTATTTTTAAAACCCGTACTACCGGTAAATAAGGTTAATATATAGGTAGTAACGGAGGATAAAAAATTATAATATAAAAAAAATATTAAATTTATAATTTAATAAAAGTTAATTAAAGTATTTAGTTAATTAATTAAGATACCCGCCTATAAATAATTTATAAAAATTAAAAATAAACCTTAATTACCCGGATAAATAAAAAGTATTTTACCGGTAATATTTAAACCGATTAAAACCTAAAAAAATAAAAAACCGTACTTAGGTTCACGGAAATATATCTATAAATCTAAATACGGAAAAACCTTAATAGGAATCGAATCTATACTTTCGATATAATAATCAATATACTACCTACTATACTACGAAATTAATAAGTATAAAGGAATTTAAGCCTAACTAATATTATATGCTTTTACCGTAATAAAAAAAAGTTAAAAATATATTACCGGCGGGGTAACTAAGAAGCTAGTATTTAAATTTACGAACTATATTTATAAATTTAGATATAAAACTTCGACGGGAATCGAACTTATACCTTTAATATAATAGTGTTACAACCCTGGTGCAGGACGGGTTGTGGGGCCACGGGAGTAGGAGCCAATCGGGAGAATGTATAAGAAAGCTAATTACAGTGGAGGACGAGTAATTAGTGTGCTCAGGGCACTGAGCAGACTGAGCAGAGATGATCAGTATGCTCAGGGCACTGAGCAGACTGAGCAGAGGTGATCAGTGGTCTTGGGAGACTGATCATGGCTTGGCACGAGGTCTATATACGCGGAGGAACTGGCTGGTGTAGATAGACAGTTCCGCAGTATGCAATGACAAGTCACAATCGTGGTATTTTAGCTATTGTGATCGAGACAAGCCATTTGTTGTGCACTATTTAGCTGCACCGAACCAGGATTATTCAGAAGTTACCTTCAACCAGTATCCCTTTCAGAGGTTCTGGATAGGGGTTCGTCACAAATAGCCGACGTACTATATACTATACTACGAGGTTAAAAAGTATAAAGGGACCTAAGTATAAATAATATTATATATCTTAAGTACGGTCCAGGTGGACAGAACGGACTAATAAGATGGGGACCGGGGACCGCGGCGGGGCTCACGGTCCACGGTCTAGCATCGGCCAATCAGGAGTGGACCGAGGACTGTCTGTAAGTCAACGGTCCACGGTCCTAAGGTCTATATATACGAAGGAACTGGCTAGTATAGATAAATAGTTCCGTAGTATGTAATATAAATTATGATCGTTAGTATTTTAGTTATTGTGATTGAGATAAGCCATTTATTGTACACTGTTTAACTGTACCGAACTAGGATTATTCAGAAGTACCTTCAACCAGCATCCTTTTCAGAGGTTCTGGATAGGGGTTCGTCACAATCTGCCCATCTGAGAATCGCCAGAACCTCCGTTGTCGTTGGGCATGGCCGCGCTGGGGTCCCGCTCTCGCCGAGCCAAGACAGCCAACGCCGGAGCCAAGACCTGAGCCGAGTGCCGTAAGTGGACATATTCTTCGGGGCGGTTGCTCGTTTGCTCCGTCTCGGACATTATACTGACGATTTCAGGATGCGGAGGGATTCGCCCCGAGCAGAACATGGAAGAGATTCCTGAAGCGAATGCAACTTGAACACGGTTGTATCTCCATTGCCTCTCTACGGAGACATCAACGTTGCGCGTCTAATCTGAGAGCAGACAGGGGTGCCAAGGAGTTTGTTGGTTGTTTCTCTTTCGTTCTCACAGCAAGAGCAAGCTTGACGACCAACTGCTCTGTCATCTGCCTATCGCGTTGCTGGTCCGGGGTGCTCAAAAGCCTCACCGCTGCCCTTTCCCGTTACCATGGCTCCCGTTACCATGGCACCCGCTACCCGAGCTTCAACACCCTTCAGCCTTTCCGCGTTGGACGCCTACGAACCTCGCCGATATACCCAGTTTGGCGAAACCTGAGGATGCCACAAAAGAACTGAAGCAACTCGCGCAACGAATCAGCGGAACTTTGAATACTCGCAATGGCCCCATCGACCCCATACCCGGGAGCATGCTCGACCCCAAAGCAGCGATATTTGACGCCCGTGCCTGGACCAGAGAATTCATCAACTTCTCCGAGGGGGACCCTAAATGCGCGCCCAACCGAGCCCTTGGTGTGGCTTTTCAAAATCCAAACGTCCATGGCTGGAATACAGGGACTCAGGTCCAGCAGTCAGTCTCAAGTGTTGTGGTGGAGGTAGTCAAGAACCTGTGCGGTTCGTTACAACCGCCGAAGCAACACCCCGAAACGAATTCTGAGGGCTTTGAAGGGGTGGTGGAAGGGGGAGAGATGCTTCTTGTGTTGGGACCACCGGGAGCTGGCTGTTCGACTTTGCTCAAGACGCTCGCATCTCAAACCGCAGACTTGGAGATCGATCCAGAGTCTTACCTGAATTATAGAGGTATTTGCCAACCATCCTCGTCCCCACCTTCTGGTTCGGCTTTTAACACATGTGCTCCTCGATAGGGATTCACCCGAAACACATTCGCGGCTCCCTTCGGGGTGATGTTCTTTACAATGCTGAGCTTGACGTCCACCTAGCTCATCTTACCGTCGGCGAAACGCTGTCCTTCGCCAGCTTGGCCCGCAGTGTTCGTCACGTACCTGGGGGTTTCACACGTCAGGAGCTCGCTCTAATCAGGCGCGATGTCATGATGGCCATCTTTGGGCTGACACATACCGTAAACACACGAGTCGGCGACGAGGATGTTAAAGGGGTCAGTGGGGGTAAACGAAAACGGGTCAGCATCGCAGAGGCAGCACTGACATGAGCCAAGCTTCAGTGCTGGGACAACTCAACCCGCGGGCTTGACAGTGCCAATGCCATCAACTTCTGTCGGAATTTGCGCCTCCAAGCTGACCTTTGCGATGTTGCATCTGTGGTGTCGCTGTACCAAGCTCCCCAGTCCGCATACGATTTGTTTGATCGTGTCACGGTTATATACGAGGGAAGACAGATCTTTTTCAGCCCGGCTCAGGACGCAAAGAGATATTTTGAGGACTTGGGCTTTCAGTGCCCCGACAGACAAACAGTCCCTGACTTTTTGACATCAATGACAAGCCCTCACGAACGACGCCCCAAACCAGGCTACGAGAACTTGGTGCCACGAACGCCAGATGAATTTAGCAAAGATGGATTCAATCCCCGCAAAGGCAGAAGCTATTGCAGGAGTTAATGGTGTACGAAGAGAAGCACCCACAGCAAATACGGCTCACCGACTATCGCGGATCCAGACGACAGGAGCAGGCCAAAGGACAGCGCACGAACTCACCGTATATCATTTCATACTCGCAACAGGTTGCTTTGGCGTATTGGCGTGCCTGGAGAAGACTGTTGGCCGACCCTGCCTTCACGATTACGTCGCTGGTCTTCTTCTTGATCATAGCCATAGTCCTGGGAACCATGTTTTACAACCTCAAAGAAGACTCCTCTAGCTTCTATTACCGGGGCGGTATCATCTTCTTTTCATTGATGTTCAACGCCTTCGCTAGCCAGCTTGAGGTCATCACCATCTACGCCGAACGCCCCGTTGTCGAGAAGCATAATCGCTACGCGTTTTACCATCAATCGGCACAAGCTTTTGCCAGCTATCTTTGCGGTCTCCCTTACAAGATTATCAACATGTTCGTGTTCAACATAATGGTTTACTTTACGGCTCATCTTAGACGGGAGGTCAGCGCCTTCTTCCTCTTTTGTCTCATTACCCTCCTATCGACGCTTACTCTGTCGGCCATGTTTCGCACTTTGGCCAGCATAACCCGCTCCCTTGAGGAGGCCATGATACCGAGCGCCCTTCTCGGTATTGGATTGATTATTTACACGGGCTTTACCTTGCCCACTGCATACATGCCAAACTGGTCACGATGGATGGTCTCTATCAACCTCTTAGCTATGCCTTTGAGTCCTTGATGGCAAACGAATCTCATGAGAGGGAATTTCCGTGTGCTAGTATGATACCGCAAGGCCCAGGCTACGAAGGTCTGCCGCCTCACTCGCAGTTTTGCTCTGTTGTTGGTGCGGAGCCGGGGTCTTCTCATGTCCGCGGTGACTAAGTACATTAACCTGTCGTTTAATTACTGGAATGAGCACAAATGGAGAAACGTGGCGATTATCGTGGGGTTCATGATCCTTTTCTTTGCCGTCTATCTCGCCACCGCCGAGTTTGCACGACCGCCGAAAACCAGAGGGAAGGTACTTGTTTTCGGGAGGGCTGGAGCTGTTTCTCGCCCACGGCATTCAGTCGACTCGGATACCGAGGCTTTGGCCCAGGAACAACATGTGGTAACGGTAGAAAAGGGAACCTTGGCACCTGGCTCTACTGGCCTCACAAGAGGGAGGTCAATCTTCCATTGGGAAGATCTTTGTTACGACATCAAAATCAAGGGCGAGGAGCACCGGCTGCTTGACCACGTTGATGTTGGGTCAAGCCCGGAGTGTCTACAATTCTCATGGTACGTACCACTTCCTCTTCCGTGGACCTCACGAGGCCTCCTCCATCCACGGAAAGAGGTAGATGTACTAACAAGAGGTCCACTGTAGGGGTTTTCAGGGGCTGGAAAGACCACATTACTGATACACTCGCCGTCCGTGTTTCAGTTGGTGTCGTGACAGGCGACACACTTATCGATGGGGTCCCGACCGATGCCACATTTCAACATCAGGTTGGCTACGCACAACAGCAGGACTTACACCTGAGTACGATGACAATACGAGAGGCGCTAGAATTCAGCGCTATTCTTCGACAACCGGCTGAGACATCGCGAAAGGAAAAGCTGCTCTACGTTGATCATGTAATAGATATGCTAGAGATGCAAGACTTCGCGGATGCCATCATCGGTGTGCCTGGCGAAGGTCTCAACATCGAGCAAAGAAAACTTCTTACAATCGGGGTGGAACTGGCAGCCCGGCCGCAGCTGCTGATATTCTTCGACGAGCCCACATCGGGGCTTGATTCACAAAGCTCTTGGGTGATCTCCACGCTAATCAAAAAGCTCGCCAACAACGGGCAAGCTGTGCTCTGCACCATCCACCAACCTTCTGCTATCTTGTTCAACCAGTTTGACCGTCTCCTGTTGTTTGCCCCTGGTGGGAGAACGGTGTACTTCGGCGGTAGGTTACACTGCCCTTCCCTTTGATAAAGGCTCACCCCTAGATGAAACACAGACTTGGGTCCAAACGCGTCGACTCTCATTGAATACTTCGAACAAAATGGGGCACCACCCATTGCAGAAGGTGAGAACTCCGCAGAGTGGATGCTACAGGTCATCGAGCCACCTGACGAGGATGCTTCTACCATCGACTGGCATCATGTCTGGTGCTCCTCTCCGGGGTATCAAAGTGTCAAGCAGGAACTTGCACGACTCCGATCTCTCGCCTCGGACCAAGCTGGCGCGGTCAAGACCAACGATCGTGGAAGCCGGCATCAGGAATCTGTCTCTTCCTTTTCAACCTAATTCTGGGAGGTCGCTCTCCGCATCATCAAGTATTTCTGGCGATCTCCAGCATACATTTGGTCCAAAGTTGCCTTGTTCACGCTTTCGGTGAGACTCCTTGACCGTGTTTGTGAGGATTAACCCTGACAATCACCTAACAGTCCCTGTACCTTGGCTTCAGCTATCCCTCCAACAACTCAATCCAGGGCCTGCAGAACCAACTCTGGGCCATCTTTATTTTCTTCGTGCTCTTCATGCACTACAATGAGCAGATTATGCCCATGTTCATACCCCAGCGCAACCTCTACGAAGCCCGCGAACGACTCTCCAAAGTCTACCACTGGACAACCTTTGTGACGGCCAATGTCCTGATCGAACTGGGCTGGAGCACACTTATGGAGGTCATCATATTCTTTTGTTGGTACTACCCCGTTGGATTTGTCCGCAACTCCACGCCCGATGACCAGACCATCAGGGGGTTCTTGGTGTTTTTGTTCCTGTGGGAGTATCTCTTGTTCACGAGCACCGTCGCCCACTTTGCGATTGTGTGGATTGATCTCCCTGAAGAAGCGGGAGTGCTGACGACGCTGTTGTGGGTGCTTTGCATCTTGTTTTGTGGTATTGGCGTGCTGCCAGGGGATTTGCCCGCATTTTGGAAGTTTATGTACCGGGTCTCGCCGGCGACGTATCTGGCCGGGGGCATATGTCGACTGCTGTCGCGGGGGCAGATGTTGTCTGTGCGGACTATGAAGTGTTGCATGTGGTGCCACCGCAAAACATGACGTGTGGTGAGTTTCTGGGGCCGTTTGCCCAGGCTGCTGGGGGAAGGGTGTTGAACGGGGATGCGTTGGATCTGTGTGGCTATTGTCCGTTGGGTTCAACGGATGATTTTTTGGCTAGGTTTGAACTGAGTTATGATACCAGGTGGAGGGATTTCGGCATTGTGTGGGTGTACATTGTGGTCAATATTGTGGCGGCATTGGGCTTTTATTGGATGTTTCGAGTGCCCAGGGGGGCAGGGGCACAGAGGAAGAGGGCATGAAACAGTGAACGCTGTACTTTCGTATAGGTATCTCATTTTCTAACTTGACAGACTGATAGCATGCGTATATTCAGATTGATTGCTCACAACACCATTGCTCTTTACATCCTCAAGAGATCCGTGTCATCAGGAGCGGAATCATCAGGAGCGAAATCAGCAGGAGGGCTAGCAGCAGTGGTCCCGCTTACCAGTTGCATCCGTGGTGCCGGTAAACCACGCTTCATTCGGATCCTCCGAATGGCGCCATCACCGTCCCCTTCCTTCTCTTTCTGTTCATCATCGTCACGGTCCATCTCCTCAAAAAGGATCTTTGCTTGGGATATGATGATCTTGAGCAGCAGGTTGTCCTGGAGATACTCGGGTATATCCAGCACAGGGAACACCCGCTTGGGCTTGGACTTTTTAGTCTTTTCGCCAGTCTTCTCCTGCTCCTCGGTATTTTCCATCCCGGCATTGCCCTCTCCCACGATTGCGGGTTTCTCAACAATTACGCCGTCACCGGCGGTCGAGGAGCTCTCATCACCAGCATCGTCTTCCTTGGGATCCTCCTCCACAACGTCAGGATTGAAGCCGCGCACAAGCGCCAGAAGCGACGACATGAACAGCTCTCTGATGTAGGCGAAGCTGAATCCGTCCGTCAACTGGGCGACAAGATAGGTAATTTCTTCCTCAAACTTGTCTGCCACGATCGGCTTGCTCTCCAGCTTCTTCCTCCAGTACTCTGCGTATCTCTTCCTCGTCTCCTCGTTGGGCAGCTTGAAGTGGTACTTCCTGTCGAAGCGGCTAGGTCTCTTGGCAATTGCAGGATCGAGTTTGGACAAATGGTTCGTACTTCCAATCATGAGGATGCCCTCGTTGGACTCGAGTCCATCAACCTCGTTCAGGAAGTAGCTCCTGTACTCATCCAACACCAACGAGTCCAAATCCTCAAAGATGAGAACGCAGGGGGCCATCTTCCTGGCGTGCTCGAAAATGTACCGGATGGACCACTTTCCGCCCATGGAGCTGTCAAAGGCTTTGACGTACAGGCTTGGAATTCTCTTAGAGCCGTCTTCTTTGCCTCTGGCCTCGAGGGAGTTAATCAGCGCCTTGATGGAGGCGGTCTTTCCGTTACCAGGAAGGCCGTGGAGGATGATGCCCCTCTTCCACATGAGCCCGAGGTCTTGGTAGACATCTCTCGTGTCGAAGAAACCAATAACGTCTCTCATCAAGGCGTCTTTCATGGCTGACTCCAGAATCACATCGTCCCAAGAGGCACCCTGCACGCTCTGCCACAGAAGGGGGTCCTTGATCCAGTCGCCGTTATCGTAGACGTATATCTCGTTGTGGAGAGTGCATGACCAGTCGCCTGCTGCGAGAAGAAGCCTGTCAGTGTCGAGGTGGTGGCCAAGCTCATCTACCTTGTCTGCGTCGTTGGGAGCGAGGAGGTAATGCATGACATCGTTGCCACAGTCGGTGTTTTGGACGACGCATTTGTAGAGGATGAAGGTCAAGTCTTGCCAGGTGTAGAGCCAGCGGCCGAAATAGATCTTGTCAATCAGGGTTCCTCCTGGTCGGTCAAAGGGCTTGGGGCTGGCTTTGTAGGCGCGGACAGCGTCAAGGTAGAAGCCGGGGACGTTGTGGGTTGGCACGTCATTGGTCCCGGAGGGGTTGTAGTTGTCCTGAACGGCGGTTGCGTGACCTGCGGCTGCATAGCCTAGCAGGTCCATCTCGCCTCCTGGTCTCGCTCTGGTGACATGGTGGTCGGGATGGATTTCTTTGATGATTTGGTGCGTGTGGAGGAAGACGTCCTTGCGGGTGGAACTACCAGCCTTGGTCCTGTGATGGTTCTCGTTAGGAATTTTCGCGAAAAGGAAGGTGGGAGATCGGCTACTTGCCATCTATCGAACGCGCGATAGCGATTGACCACCGCTGATGGGTCTACTAACTCCCTTGATTGAGCCATGATGGATACAGTCTTCAGTGTCTGGTTAGTAGCGAGAGTGTGTGAGTTCAGAGAGTTATCGGTTCGAGTGCACGTTAAATAGTCCTTTGCTATACTGCCGCTGTTAATAAGCAGGGTGGCTTGGCTGTAAGTTCTGCCTGGAGATGCTTAGGAGGTGGGGTGAAGCTTGTCGTATCAGACGACCTCACACACTGAACGGTTGGTCCTGCAAAGATCTTCTGCCAACAGTCTGCGAGGGCCACCTTTTTCGGGCCAACTCCAGTCAGCAACAGCACAGCCGACTTCGCCACTTCATTAACCAACAGTACCGACATGAGGCGGTGAAGCAAACTATCGCAAATCTGTCCGGAAAGACTAAGAGACATCCACCTCTTTATCCCGGCAAAGATAGCGGATGCTATGCTCTAGATCGACGCCAGCCTTTCTCAAAATCTTGGTTGTGAGAGGCATTCCGATGGCAAATGAATTCCCATGGAAGCGGACGTATTCTTCGTAGTTGCGGGGCAGACCATCGCTCGATTCCCACTCATGAGCTTCCCCCCCGTTGTCTTCCTCTTCGTCGCCCTCCTCGGCCTCTGCTTTCTGCTCTGCATACATGGCTTCTACCTCGTCGCGGAATTGGCACTGGGCAAATCGTGAATCACAACACGATGCGTGTCGTGTTCTACCAAGGCGTTGCCAGCTCTACAGTCAAGCATGACCACACCTCGCTTATTGATCTCGTTTGCTGCGTAGACAGCATCTTGAACAATCGTCTTCCAGAGCTCCTTGGGCGGAGCGTCGGAGGCGGGAAGATCTGGGAGTTTTTCTAGGATGAAGCCTCGGATGGATTCCATGAAAATACCGAAGATGCTGAACTCGGGTCGTCCAGCCAGGGCTGGATCAGCCGTTTGCGCCTGGATGAAAACGTGGGCATAAAGCCTTGGAATGCATTTCCCTTGCAGATCCCTGAACCGTCCATACGCCCTTGTCTCGCTGTCGAACTCCTCCAATGTTGTGCGATACAGGCCTGCTTCGTATCTACCCAATGCCTCGTGTGATTGCGGTTCTTCGTCGCCTAGCTCATACCATGCGGACCACAGGCCTTGTTTCTCTACTGCCGTAATTTCGTCGAGGAACGGCCTTAGTTTGTCCTTTCGTACAAAATCTTCCCATGCCAATTGGTCATGGGGTCCATGGGGTCGAAGAAGCCCTCTCTGTCCCATGGGAAACGTCGGGGGGTGTCGGGGATCGAAGAGCTTGAGAATAGCCGTCATGTTGCCGGACACGGCCGCGGGAAACTCGACCTCCATGACCGGCGATAGCCTTCCTCCGAAGCATCTTCTGGTAATAACGATTGGTAGGGGGCTAATTCCGATGTCTTGGTGGCCGCTCCACGTTACCTCGAGGGAGTGTTCGGTCTGAGGCTTGTACGGGAATGGGGAATAATTCGGTAGTGCTCGCGCTTCCTGCGGCGGTCTTCTTCAGTCAGGTCCCGATATTGTATAACAGAACAGGTTATGAATACTTGCCTCGGGGAGGTTTCCGCTGACACGGATCACACAGTTGTTTCGATCTATTCTTGCGGATTTGGAGTGTTCAGATTGTTGTCCGTTGCAGGTGGTGGAGTCCAAGGACCTGTCTGACCAACAGGAAATTTAGCAGATGCCTGGTGACTCGGCCCAATTCTATTAGGTAGGTAAGCATGAGGCCACATGCACTGGGAACTTTATTCAACCAACCTGGAATGGAAGAAGCTCCAGCCCCGGGCGGTAATCCTTAGGGGCCTCGGTTAGGTTGGGTTTATAGCACTATGCCGCTGAAACCCCCGACTTTTACGCAAGCCCTAAACGCCACAAATTAGTTCCACAACGTAGCATCTGGCACAAATCAAGTCTAAAAACTCTTGCGTCTCCCCTATGTCAACCGCTTCAAATACATCTGTCGACCTAAATGAGAGTGCAACAGATGTGGATCTTCGACCGGCACAACGTCACATTGCTTCTCATCATATCTGGTGCAAGTAAATCTAATCTATTGAGCATTCTAAGGATAGCCAAGAGATCAACACGCATGATGATAATTCAGAAGCAGCGTAATGCAAAGTATTCACCCCGATCAAGACGTAACAAAGCTCTTCCTGCAAATAAATCAACAAATGAAAAGTTCAATGCCCCAAAAAAGTCAAAAAACCCATCCCCGATGAGACATTGCAAATTCAACGAAGTATCTCCACACTCGCCCAAGAGACTACAAAAACAGAACTCCTAATGATTGATTATGTGGTAGTGATAGCGATGATAATGCCTGCCCTCATACCAGCTGCTGCGGCGGCTTGTCGTGTAGCTGCGTTCGATTCTCGCCGGCCGTGACGCCAATAAGCTCGGACTGAGGAGATCATCCGAGGAGCCGAAACTCCATCTCCTCACTGTTGTTCGTCTTGTAGTAATGATTGAGCCCGGGCGGGAACAGAGGTCGCAACCGCGGGATGATACATAGCCAGTTCTCTCCTCAATGTGCAGATGACGGCGGGAGCAGTTGTGGTAATCTGTCGCCAACTCGTGCCCGCAACGGTAGTAGTCGATCCATTTGATGCACATTTTAACTTTGTCTGTACGAGTGTATAGTTTGCTTGTCCTTGATGTAAAGTAGGTTGCGTAAATCCAAAATTGAAAGGCAGATTCAAAAAATTGCGGTTCGAAGGTAGGGGGTTGAAGTGCGATCGGTTTCTACTATATAGCCCTCACTCACCTCATCACTCAGCAAGCCTGGCACTCTTTCTCAAATGCGGATTGAGCCATGTCATTTTATTGCCTCGCAATGGGATCTGGTCACCTTGTCAGGTGAAAGTCTCACCGAAGTATTATATAGGCGCAAGGCCGCAGCATATTCATGACGCAGACAACACATGCTCGCCCGTAGGAGGTGAGGGTACTTGGTATCCAATACATTGTGTGGGAAAGGCTGAAGTGAAGAACGTAAATTCCACCGCTTGACCTGTGACCAAAACAGAAATTGAAGAATGGATGTACAAGGCGAATATAAAGTTGGCGTGTAAATGACGCTGTCGGCCGCTTGTGGTGGCTTGCAACATGGTTGGCCTCCAACCGGAAAATGACTGGGGGAGAACAGTGATGCAGTCCCACGATCCCAGGTTCCTATGACCTGTGGCACAGCCCGCTTGAAATCAGGTGTTGGCAAAGCTCAAGGCACACCAAAACATCATGCGTTGGCCTTCAGCCTGGTAATTAAATGGAATCCATAGCCACCACACATCCATGATTTGTGTAACACCGAAGAGCCTCAACAGGTGTCTAGTTTCACGGTTGCTTAAGTTTGTCCCTACGTCTATCTAATAGCTAAAGCAATCAGATAAAAACTCTAACAGACAAACATAAAGGCCAAGGGTAGGTGCATTTAACCAGTGCCTTTCTTTTTCGCCCTGAAAAAAATACAGGAAGCAACTCCAAACTCCAGGTGGAGTCCAAATATCACCCACCACGGCTTTGATTGTGGGCTTCATCCATGCCCGTGTCCAACGCCTTGTTGAGATATCTCTAGTCCGATGAAAAGATAGCAGCTATCCTATGAAATCTTGTCTAGCCCGTGCACGTAATCATGACAAGCCTTGTCTAAACAACCTAGTAACAAAAGGATTGGGAGAAAAAAGGAAAGAACCGAGTGCCGATTGCTCAACCACCAGATGCAGAAGGACAAGATGTGAGGAGATGAGAACCTACGTTCAAGGTGATACCCCAAAGACGTGGCCCCTTAATCGAGAATCCTAAATATGTAGCAAGTCGTTCCCAGCCCCAGCCACCCAAACACCACTCCTAAGAATACTGCGAGGTAAGTGAGAAGAATGCTGGCCTCCCTGATTCGAACCCTGTTCAGGTAGAATGTGTTAGCGACGTCAGTGCTCAGGTAGCAGAATAAGGAGTCTGCGCCCTGACCATTGAGCCACCGGCACTGTCTTTCTGATTATTGGAAGGAGGTCCTGCTTTTGATCCTTTATGTCTGGGGTGGCATGTCCCAGGGGAGGAAGGGGCAACCAGACAGGGTGCTCAGAGTGGCTAGGGCTTCCAGGCGCTCGGAGCCGTGTATCGGCCTCTTGGAGCACACCCGATTACCCTTTGTCAATACCTGGGAACTCTTCAGATACTTTCGTCAGACAGGACGTGGTCCCGGCTGGCTGGCAAATGCTAGGTGTAGGCTGGCCATCTTTATGGCGTACCTATTCATCGGTCAAACCTTGTTCTTTTCCTGGTTTGTGACCCCAGAAGGCCTTTAGAATTGTTTGTCCTCTTTCCATGCGTCATGCTTGACCGAGAAAGAAAAAGAAACAATGCTAACAATCTCTACACGAAATTAGGTACCACCGTTGAATGCCTTCGATATGGCCTTCCTTCTCGAGCCAGGAACAAACCAACCACGACGCAACAAGATAGCCAATCTCGACGACACGAACGAGTCAACTTCCAGCGCACTCAAGGCGACCGGACACAGGCAAAGGTAGAATCCAAACACCAGAATAGAATGGGCAAGTCGAGAACGAAGCAAATTTAATATACGCTTGTACCTATACTATCTTGACTATGGCAAGGTTGAAAGCCCCAACAAATCTGCACTTTCTTCCAGATCTTGGGAGATGTTCGCGTACACGCCCACAACTTCATCAACAGTCCACCTAGGTGCCAATCTACGAGTCGTCGAAGTAAGAGCGTTCGTCAGCAGCTCAATCTCCTCCGAAGACTTCCCCAGCGTGGTAACCATTGACCATATACATTTCTGTGCGCTCAATATGTGTTTGGGCAGTTTTTTGAGGTCTTCTGCGGATTTGTCACTCAAGCCAGATTCGCGCGCCTTCGTGAGAAGCCTGTTCCATATAGCCAACTCCACCCTGTCGTGATAATACCTCTCCGGGTATATGTGGAAGACGATGGAGGTGGCCTTTTCCAGCCCTCTTAGAAGGACTTCCAATTCTCTCATCAAAATATTAAGATCGACCCTCGCGGCCGAAATCCATGACCGCGTCCTGTCCAGATTCGTTACTACCAAATCCCGCAACCGGCGTCTTCCTAGCTCGTCGAGCTCCACCGTCTCCTTCTTTGTCTCCTCACTATCGACTTTCGCGGTCGGTAAAACTGTGCCTCGAGGTCTGGAGCGGAGGATCTTTGGCGATGTAGATTTCTTCCCGGCCGCCAGCTCCTCCTCAGAAGGCCTCAGAGCTTTCAGCTGCTTCGACTGGTGGGCCAAGTCCACGAGTTTCAAGTCCTCTTCTTTTATCTTTGTGTGAAAAAGCCGTATTCGTTTCTGGAAGTCACCAATCAACCTAGAACCCCCACTAGTAAGCTCCTGTTCTATGACAGCAACAAGGTTCCCCAGAGACTTTTTACTTACGCCTTTGTCTCCAAAGCCATCCTTTTCCAGACTGCCCACAACTCCTCGCCAGCCATCGTGCCTCTCTCCCAATCCGAGTCGTACACCAAACGCCACAGTTCTTTGAAAGAATCGTGAGACTTGTACATCTCTGCACTTTCCACCAATATTTGCTTGCAGATCTGGGCCGTGGCTACAAAGCCCCCTTGCAGGCTTTCCACCCTCTTCAGGTATTCCGGCCCTCTGTCCTTCTCCGATTCAGCCCTGCCTCCCCATAGAAAAGCCACCACGTTGTCGAAAACGCCGGGTTCGTGGGAAGCCCAGTGCTTATCTCGTGTCCTGCCGTAGGGGACCGAGGTCAAAAGATCCTCTCTGATCTCTCGATAGATATAAGGAATCGTGGGCCTCAAAGTCGCATAGATCAATACACCTGATAAGGCAAATAGGAAGGTGTACAGGGCCCAAGGACGGATCGCGCGGAGTACCCGTAATGGAAGCTCCAATAAATACTGCAGTACACTGAGGGCAGTGTCTAGTACCCAGAGAAGCACGGAGAAGACAAGGCGCTTGGCTTCCTCAAAGCGGTTGTCGGGCGGGTCCGAGTCCCAGTCTCGAGAGTAACCCCCCCGTCTGGAATCATACTCTGGATCCGAGGGGTTTGATTCATCCGAGTCGGACGTCGAGGGACTTTCTCGGGCCTGGGTCCTTGGTGTAGGATAGGGCTGTCTTTCAAACTCATAGGTATCCAGCGGAGGGCTTCTGTACGTCGTACTCGTTGTTTTCCCTCCAGACACTGATTTTTTGTTCGAAACATACGATCTGTTGTTGTAAGGAGAAGCCTGCAGATAGGCTTCATAGTCCTCATCATCGGTCGACCCTGAGGAGGGCGACGGCGGACGAAAGGAATTGTCGTAGCACGCACGATACGGGGACATCTTGACGGATGAAAGAGTGGTGCTACTAGGGGAACGATAAAAAGGTATGGAAGCGCAAGCACCGGAAAAGCGAAAAACTAGAGAGGTCGGTCTCGGGGTTCAGATTCGAGCCTCGATGCGTATGTACTCTGCAGACAAAGAGGTGATGCATGCATCGACGTCACGACCCTCCTGTGAGGTTTAGAGTGTGGATTGTTTGCATTCCCTTTCCATACAATGCGGTGTTCATGCCACTGCCGACAAGGACTGCCGTACTGTTCAAATCCTGCAACCGGTCAACAAAGCCACTGGCGAGTTGGCTCGGGTCAACCCCATTTCGGCATTTTGTTCAGAACTCCTTTGTTCCTGGCCACACCAGAACGCCAACTCCAACAACACACAAGAGGAACCATGGAATTGACCATGAGTGCATTGTTGAAAGCTTTTGCGCGTCTTGGGCCCAAGCAAACGGATACCAATGGATCGACATTAATAAGTAGCTGTAGCCGAGCTATCTGTAAGATAAGAAATAACATCAGCAAGGCGACGAAACTCCTCTGCTGTGTCCCATAACCGCGCTAGCTCTGCTGTGAAGCGTTATCGGACTTCCACCACTCCCGGTCGGTGTTCCCCTGCTGCTGATAGCAGCCAAAATGTTGCCTCTGTTTTCTAGACCAATGTCCAAGAAGTCCCAGCTGTAGCTTCGCTGGGAGGACTCCCCTTCCCTTGAGCCTTCCTCGTCCTTCTTGTTCCTTCCCGTTGTTGAGAGGCTCCAGTTGCTTGTTCTACTTGGGCTGCGCCAGGGGATTCGAACTGTGAGGTCTCTTCTCATGTTGCTGGATGAGAGCTTCTCTTTGAGCACTGGGCCGATTGGACGAAGGGAGCGCTTGGATGGTTGCGGTTTCAGGTGCGCTGTGGGTGGGGTGGTCATCGTCGCCGCGAGGTTGGTTGTGCTTGCTGGACCCTGGGCGTCCTTTTCTCGCGACGGCAGTGGGTGGGTAAGGATGTCATCGTTCTGGTATATCTCGGTGACCTCAGGAAGGGTTCTGATGCTCTTGGTCTCGATGGCAATATCCGCGCTCTCGGCCAGCCCAATGATGTCGCGGTTGAGCTCGGTTTGTGTTCCGACATGGACCGTCGTCAGTGGCCTTGATCTCTGTCCATGATCGAGCGAGGCCGACATTCGGGACTGCTGGGGTGTGGAAAGTCTGTCCCTGACGCAAGATACGCAGGTCCGTCTGTTGATCAAGAAGAAGATCAGAAAGTTCCAGACCCCTTGGATTGATAACGCAGCGGTAGAGGCTACGTATGCTGGGAAGTTTGTGTCTCCATGAAGAATCTGGTTGACGCGAAAGATGCTGCTTGGTATCCATGTGGCCAGAATTGCAAAGGCGGAGAGGCCCGCAGTCAGTAGATATGACCGCTTGACCGGGTCGTCGATGGTAAATGCGCTTATGATCTCCCTTAAGCCATTCACACTCTGAGGTTCCGCCGTTCGAGGTTCCAAGGTTCCGTCTTGTTCACTAAGAGTTGGAGGAGGGGAGGGAGCTCGGCGGGGGTTGAGCCCAAAGGCACGCATGTAACTTGAGCTTCGTTTCGACGGTGCACTGGCTACCCTGGTTGGTAGGGCAGCTCTTGTAGACCGGCTGTGTTGGGTTCGGATCGATCGGCTTGGGCGGGTGTGTATAGACCGGCTGTTGCGGGTGTGGCTAGACTGCGCACGAGTGACAGTCATAGGCATCGGCGCGAGGGGGTGAGTACCGTCGGGCGATTCTGGAAACAGGGCGCTACTAGTAAATGGGGACAGAGGCCAGTCGCTCAATGACAAAAAGGACTTCCTGTCGCGCGGTATGGGTTGGAGGATGGGTGGGTGTTCGGGGCTTGCTCTCAGAGGAAACTTCGTGTCAACATCGTTTCGGGATCGAAATATATGGATCCCAAGACCTAGGTAGATCAGGAGAGTGCCCAAGATGCAGATCCAGACTGGGAGGTACTGGGTGTAGATCCGTAGCATTTGATGTGAGGAATCAATCCAACACCATATCTGATTGTTTGTCAGCTTCGTTGGACTGGATCAGAGCGATCCAACCTACCCTAGCATTGCCATAGTAACCCAGGGCGAGCAAAATACCGGCAGAAATTCCTGGTCCACCATAACAGATCGAGCAGTATACCCACCACCACCTCTTAAAGTGTCCCGGGTCGGCACCATATCGAAATACAATCAGCACGTTGATAGCCATAGCAAACGACCACCATGGATTGGACTGCAAGAACCTGTTCAAGTCCATTGATTAGTCCCTACGGATAATGTCCACCTGCCTACCCGACCAGTACTCAAGACAACAGGCAAACTCACATCTGAAACAGAAATCCCTGCGCGTTGCACAACCCCTTGTCCCCATTCTGAATAGCCGTTCTTAGGCCATCCTGAGTCATAAAGGTAGCCACCGATGAGAATACATTCGCGACTGACGAGCACACCAAAAAGCAATTTGGAACCGTCCGAACAGAACGGAACAAAGCAAAGGCCACGAACACTAGCGTGACGGCAGCCAGAGAGACAGACCCCAGCGCCCGCTCGATTGTCACCAAAAGATCGGTTTGTTCCTCGGTCAAAATCAACAGGGGGCGGACCGAGTCGAGGGTCGTGGTGTTGGCTAGAAAAAACGGGATGACGGGCATCTTCGGATCGGACGAAAGAAAAGGACGGGTATTTTCAGTAACAAAAATAGAAAGAAGAAACTCTAATCGAGACGGTTGTTGTTTGTGTTAAAACATGTCGTTTGGGACAAGGAGAAACGGCGAGATCGACGAGATAGAGGATATTTTCGAGCGCGAAGTCAATGCCACTGGTGCTTGGAGCAACTTCAGGTGGTGGAATTGGAAAAGATCTTGATGAGAGGTGTGGGTCAGTCTGGGGAAAATGTCACGCAGTTGTCGAAGCCAACCTACAACTTGGAAAAAAGGGAACTTGCAATGCCCAATAGACGCCGACGATGAGAAATATGCAGAATTGGTGAAATGAAATCCGGAACGAATCAAGGAAACATGGTTTGATGTTCTGTGTTAGTGGAAGCCCGTGATATCGTCGCGGTGTTCGACTTCCTTCACGAGAACCTGAATGAATGTATGCAAAGTATGTACAAAAAGGGAGCCTCACAGCTCGATCAACTCGCCAAAGAAGGTTAAACGCGGGAGGGGTGGGGAAGCCATCTATATACACCATCCCTCAATACCTTACCTACCACCTAACCAGAACAGTTGGAGGTGCTACAGTCTTCAATTGAGTTTGAACGGCGTGTGGGTGTAGGTGTGCGGCGTCATAAATGAAAGGTGAGGTCGTGGGACAAGCCCAGTTGTTTGTGTGGTATGTCACCTTATTCGAACTGCTGCTACATGCAATGGATCCTTCCGAGGTCTTTTTGCACTCAGATTCCAGCTTGTTTGCCTACTGCACCACAAATTCAAACTCAGTGAGTGGCCAAGAGAGTCAGGGGAGGTGTGCTTGCGGTTTGCTGACGCCGCTGCTCACTCTTGGCTGATCTTCAGGAGAAACGCGCGCAGAAATATCTGCCGGCAGATGTGTAGATCAGGTTGAGCTCTCGTGAATGGCTCGACGGAGCTCTGTATAGCTCACCTTCGGCAAGTCGGAGGCGCAACCGAGGCAGGTTCCATTGGGTAAGCGGTTGGTCCAGCTCGCTGGCACCAGAGTTATTAAATCTGGAGAAGTCCCAGGCCATTTATGGCACTCCAGTGCACCTCTACCAGCCGATCTGGACCCGACTGTCTAAATTTACGACGAGTAGTAGAAAGCATCGGTTGAAGCTCAATCGCCTGAAGGTTTAATGATGTACGACGGAAACATCAAGCAATTGCATTTCCGAGGGCTAACATCACCTCAACTCAAACCCCACAAACTTTCTTTTTTCAAAAAATAAAAAGATTCATGACATGGGTTGCCGATCAAGCTGCGGTGCCAAGCAAAGCACGCGAATCTTCCTAGTACTACGGCATGTAGCCATCTTGAGTATACGCAAAAACCAGAGAAGCAGAGGACTGAGCCCGACGGTGTCTACCAGGTAGGCGCTGACGTGCATCAACATCAACGGGCTGGAAGAGGGGGTTGCAGCGCAGCGGTAAATTTAGAAGCAACCCAACCGAGCAGCACAGAAACGGATTCCCCTGGCATACGTTGAACTTAATATCGGGGTCCTGGGCAGCCGATTCTTATCCCCTTTTGTCATCATCGCCTTGACATGGCGAAAAGGAAGACACGGTCCTCGGTGAAGGGCAAGCATCGGCAGGTCTAAGGCACAGTGCTGCGTAATCCACCGCTTTGCCGGAATCCTCTGATCTCTAGACAAACAATTGATTCCATTGTCTCTAGAAGGCCGTAAGTGATACAATGTAAAAGAATCATCTTTCGCACACTCATTGATCCTCCCTAGCCCTGTAAAATCCCATTAAGGTGCTATAAATGTTGATCCCTTAGGATAAAGTCAGACAGTCTCTCTACAAGGTGTAAAGGAACTCCGGGTTGGCGTCACCCAAATCCCCAATCTCCGCCTTCGTCAAACCCGTCAGGCGATGATCAAGGAGTCCCTGCTTTCGGTCGAGATTCTGAAAGTACAAATACCGGCAGAGTATGTAGCTTCCACCACCCAGAAACAGTGCCATATACGCGATCACGGTAATGTGGCCGGCAAGGAAACGTGGAGCACCGAACCACAGATTACAAGATACAAGTCCGTTGAGGTTTCCCCACCCGATCACCAATCCCAAAACAATGCCGCGTTTGTAGGATCCCTCCGTGTTGTTGGCCACCCACGCAATGGTGAGTGGTATGCTAGCATAGATGCCGACAGCGCCAAAAAAGGCCCCCAGGTACTGAACAATTGGATTGGAGGAGGCAACGAGGAGGATGAAGCCAGAGATGCCAACGCAGGCGAGGCCCATGTTGTAAATACCGCGTTTGCGGTGTCTATCGCTGAACACGCTGACCACAATAGTCACCAAAGCTGCAACAGCATAAGGTGGGACGCTGAGCAGCTGGTTCTTGATGATCTGGGAAGGGTCGGTAAATGATAGGTTCGAGATAATTGTAGGGAGGAACAGACTGAGACTATAAAGCGGCATCATGGGGCCCATGTACACCACCATAGCAAGGTAGGTCTTCGTGTCCTTGAGGGCTTGCCAAACGTAGAGCATCTTGAAGTTTTCGTGATGGGCCGAGCTTTGCTTGTCCCGGTCCAGCCTGCGGAGGACGCGCTCTTGATCGGCTTCCGAGAGAAACTCTGCCGTGTCAGGAAAGTCCTGCACCATCCAAAATGAGGCGATGGCAACAACAATGGTGAGGGCGCCTTCGAGGATGAAGATCCAGCGCCAGCCAGCGAAGCCGCCGATACCGTCCATCGTTGAAATCGCCGCCGCGAGGAGACCGCCAAACGACCCGGCGAGGGCGGCGAATGAAAAGAAAAGCGCCTGGGTCACAACGGTTCGTCAGGTTTTATGCGCTCCATTGGGCGATGGAGATGAAGGGGACTACTCACAGCACGTAGGGCAAACTCATCCCGCCGGTACCAACAGGAGATGAAGTAATTGACACCGGGAAACAACCCCGACTCAAAAACGCCCAAGAAGAATCGAGCTGCCATGAGCCCGCTCCAGTTCTTCACAAGGCCCATGGCGGTCATGCAACCACCCCAGCCGACCCTACATGCACGGTCAAAATCTTGTTCAGATCTCGAGACCTAACCAATGAAGGCTCATGCTTACATGATCAGGGGCAAGAATATTGAGGGACGCATCCGCTTGAGCAGAACATTTGCAACGGGCTCGAAAGCCGAGTATGCCACAAAAAAGATCATCAACGCAGCACTGTAACCGAGGTTAGACATGATAATATCGTTCGTCATGTTGTCAATCTTGGCATTTCCAATGTTGGTGCGGTCCAAAAAGGCAAGAAGGTAGAGGAAACAGAGCCACGGCAGGAGGACGAGGTCTAGGCGACGGACCAATTTGCGGTCCTAAAGCAGCAAAACACGGTGGTTAGCAGCCAAATACACCTCAGAACTGGCATCATCGAGGGCTCAGTACATACCACGGCAGCTCTTTCGGATTCGGACAGTCCGGCATCTGGGTCCGGTCGAACAATGACAGCAGATAGTGAGGTCATGTTTTCTGCTGCTGTGGCTGATATATTATTCGTACGAGAGCTTGATGGCATCAGCTTCCACCTCGTGTTCGATAGTGTATAGGATGGTAATGCGGATGCAAAATGTGTGGTTGAACCATAGGGAATTAGTAGGATTGGTGAAGGTTGGAAAACGTTGGTTCAGGATGGGCTACCACGGGATAGCCTAACAAGAAATCGCGTCACGGGCCTGCCTCTGAAATGATTTGGCATGGGAGGAAGGAGCAGGTCGCTAGGCATTTCGAATGGTGTCTCGTTGCATGAACACTTATTAGGGCGCAGTCAGCTGTCTGGTTGGGGAGTGTTATTCTATGACGGAAGGCAAAGATATGATGGACCCAGGCAACTACAATGTTCAAGCGCCAGCTGGCCACGAGTGCACCTGGATTAGGTGTCTCAGCGTAAGGTACCCGACCTCAGGTACCATGTAGGTAGTCCTGTCCTTGGGGCATGGTGGAACACAAAACGCTCCTGCAATTGCCAAGGTACATGTGAGGTAGCATTTAAACACCGCCCAAAAGAATGGTTCTCGTCTCTGGCTTCGAATTACAAACATATAAAAACTCGGGAATCCCTAACCCATATTCCAACTCTTGTTTCCCTTCCAGTATTCTCCTGTTTTCAAGTGCCAGCTTGAGCTGGGTGAAGGCTGTAATAGGGGCCCGGTGGAACATGATAGTCCCGTCTGTGCCTTGGAGTCCCATCCCCACCCCTTCCAGGTTGCGTGGTGGGTATTGGTAATCCACGGGAGCAACTACACGAATGCTGACCCGGTGACCCTGGTAAACTCCTTGATCGTATGTTGCCACACTCTTCTGACCATATCTCTGTCTCTCAGCTGCTGAAGTGTATCCTGCACCTTGAACGCCACTGACTCCCCATCGAAATTAACAGAATAGACCCCGCTACCGTCCCTCGCGTCAGTACCTCTAGCGACCGAAACCCCTTTTCCGAGCCCGACGCCCGCTGTCGGTATCCTCGAATGTCCCCCGTCTCTTGCCGGAAATCGTGCGCTTGTGGCCAAGAATAGATGCCTCTCCCCAGCTTCGAAAAGAGGGAGCGCTCCGACGACTTTGAATACAGCGCGGATGACTCCGCCGGTCTTGGGACTGCTGTTGGTGGACGAACCTTTGACAAAGCCGGGAAAGGAATGGACAAAGCTGATGTTGGGCGCTTCCAGGGCCAGAGATTCCAGTGCCAGTGTCATCATTGTGCTGAGGCTGCCGTGGTCTGTCGTTTGCAAGGGCCCGGCCTGGTGGTACCTCCCTGGAAACAGGGGGAAGTCATCGCCATCTAGAAGGCTCTCCTTGCCGGCGCCAAACACAGTGACGACTCTCCGGAGATGGGAGGCTTTCTGAAGAAGTGGGAGCAGGTTTACGATAAACCTAATCCGGGAGTAATAGGTCATTGCCGTGGGGTAGTACAGGGACTCGATCGTATCTGGGACCAAGCAGTCAGCCTCCAAAAGCCATCTAGAACGAGCTCGAGATACCGCGTCAAGACTTACCGCTACCCTGGCTCGTCAACACGACCCCTGGCGTTAGAAACAAAAGATTGACGACGGACTCCCTGGCCTGTATCTCACGACAGACCCAGTCCACGGCGTGCAGAAGCGATACATCGGCCTGGATAAAGTGGTATTCCCCTGCTGGGTTTAGGTCGTGAAGTTCGGCCACGATTCGAGTGGCAGCCTCTCTAGACCGGCCCACGAAGTAGATGCGAGGCTCGACGGTGTTCTTGGCGAGCTGCTTCATGGTTGTCTCCCCTATGCCACTCGTCCCGCCGACAAACACAGCTACGAGACCTGCAGGCAGCACCTCTATGATGCGTGTATTTGACGATTGCATCTGGCTGAAGGACACCATCTTGGGCTATTAGGTTTTTGGGCTTGTCAGTGGCATCCAGAAGCGAAAAGGCGTTGTAAAGGCGTCCTCTGTTGAGCTGACTTGGTCGGTCCGAGACGTGATACGATCTGGGGATCGGTGCTTATCAAGAAGAATACAGTGCCGTGGTTTGTATCTGAAGTAGGGTGTCGTAGAGCACGGGGGACAGGGGGTTTCTCATATCGATTGAGGGAATCGGAAGGCCAGTCCGGTCAACAGTTACTGAGGATTTACCAACGGCAGCTCTGCCTGCAGCAGAGGAGCAAATAGGGAATGGCACCGAGATACACACTGCAAGTCTGTGAACCTGAAGAGAGACCATTCCTTGACCGTGAAAAGGATTCACTGATCATTTCCTGTTCAGCAGAAACGCTGGTCTTGTCAGTGGTCTCCGACCACTACACCGGGTGTTACCTCTCCCACCATCAGATCATGACCTGGTATCCGACGGCATCCGCGATTGGTCGGGGACGGTCCCTTATGTTACTCAGATGCCTTTCAATCACATACAGTCACAGACAGTTCCCACTTCCCCAACTTCAGCTGCGATAGTGACACCTGCTGGATCTTGCACCTGCCCCTGCCGCGGGCAATATGAGAGCCTCTTTGCCCGCAGCCCTCTGTGTGGAACATCTTGACGAGTTAGTGTAGACCCGGAGTAATATTCTCCGATTGTACACACCTACTTGCCGGCCTTGAGATATTGTGCTGGTCTCAAGCCTAAGGTATTCTCCAGCACGATAGGGGGCCACCCGTCTTACAAGGTAATACTTGCAGCCGGAAAAACAAAAGAAAGATGAGGGATAACGCCATTGTGCTGACGTTGCCCGGCAGATCTGCAGCAGGGTTTCACCAAATCAACATATCATTGCCGGATCGGAGCCCTCAAAACTGCACGTCTCACCAACAGCTCCCGAGCACCCCCCAACTGTCTCAGAGTCCAACAGTGCTGACTGAGCGAGAAATACATTTTCCTGATCGCCCAGGGTAGACTGATCTCCCGTCCCACTTCGTCCACTTTCGGAGTTTACTGTGGGTCTCCCCCGGAGTTTCACGGCGGGTCGGGGCACAACCATCCGGAGCGTCGCCGGCCGGCCTACCCGGAAGGTACAATCGCCGAGTTTGGGGTTTGACCATCACACAGAAAGTCGAGAGCCACAAGATTCCCACTTTTGCAATGCCAATCCGTTCAACGATGAGCATCTTCTCGTCACGAGTAACAAATTTGCTAAGCATTGGTCGAGGTCTCACTCCCCGAGTCCCTTATCTACTGCTGAGTCAGTCAAAGTGGGGCAAATCATCACACCTTCTGCTTACATCTCATCGCCCACAAGAATGATCCTTCCCGAAGCCATCATGATATGTGATATTGCCAAAATGAAGCGAGAATTCGATTTGAATCGGGCTGTTGGGTTTGTATTAGCCCGAGACTGCGGTTCTCGAATTATGGGCTGTGAGAGAAAGGTGGTTCGGAGTTTTTGACTGTTGCTTGCCCGGAGTATCTCATCCCTTCCGTGGAACTGGATGCTGTAAACTCCCTATCACGGCTGAAATCGTGGCAATCTCGCCCATCAACTTGCACGAGGGCGGTGGGTTCAGGGAGAATATGGCAATGCAGGAGTTTTGAGCTTGTCGTCAAGAGATTTTATATAGAGTCGACATGTGCGACGTCCTTGCACCGCGTTGGATCCGTCTTCTTGTTTCCCAACCCTATTCTCATCAGGTATTTCAACAACACTTGAGTCCGAAGCCCACCCCTCATCTTGACTCATCTACCTGAACGGTTAAAGGTACCCTTCACACCTTCCAGACTTTGTGTATCAAGCAAAGATGCAATCCAACACACCCATCGCCATCGTCGGAATGAGCTGCCGGTTCGCTGGCGACGTCGACAGTCCAGAGAAGCTCTGGAAACTTGTTTCCGAAGGCCGCAGCGCATGGTCGGAGATTCCTAAAAACCGCTTCAACATTGACGGGTTCCTTCATCCAAATTTTGAGAAGCTCAATGGGGTCAGTTCAAACTCATTTTCTCAGAAGAGGGATACAATCTCACACTTTTGAAATAGACCAATGTGGCAGGAGGCCACTTCCTCGAGGAAGACGTCGGCTTGTTCGACGCCAATTTCTTTAATTTGTCGGCGGAGACTGCAGCGGTAAGTCAGACATGGCTGTCGCTCGCCATTTTAAGGAGCAAACTAACGGGATGAAACAGGCACTAGATCCTCAGTTCAGACTGCAACTGGAGTCCACATATGAGGCGCTGGAAAGCGGTAGGTTTGCCCCACGATGCTCATCCCATTCTCTACTAACCCATACTTGTTGTCTAAGCTGGAATCACCCTTCAGGATGTCGCCGGCTCCAACACTTCTGTCTTTGCCGGCTCATTTTTTCGCGACTACTATGAGAGTCTGATCAGAGATCCCGACGCCCTGCCCAGGTTTCTACTGATGGGCACAGGGGCAGCCATGGCCTCCAATCGCCTGTCACACTTTTTCGATCTGCGAGGACCGAGCATGTCAGTCGACACGGGCTGCTCGACCACCTTGACTGCGCTGCACCAAGGATGCCAGAGTCTTCGGACCGGTGAATCGGACATGTCCATTGTGGGCGGTGCAAACATCATGTTCAACCCGGACATGTTCCTGGCCATGTCCTCGATGACCCTGATTTCCAAGGATGGCAGGTCCTATGCATTTGACAGCCGCGCCAATGGATATGGTCGCGGGGAGGGGTCAGCCACCATCATCCTCAAGAGGCTCGACGATGCCTTGCGGGATGGTGATCCGATCCGGGCCATCATCCGGGAGACAGGCGTGAACCAGGACGGCAAGACGGAAACTATCACCACACCCAGCGGCGAGGCGCAGGAAGCGCTTATTCGCGCTTGTTACAAGAAGGCAGGCCTCGATCCTTCCCAGACGACCTACTTTGAAGCCCACGGAACTGGCACACCAACGGGCGATCCCATCGAGGTCAAAGCCATCTCGTCGGTTTTCCAAGACACTCGACCAAGCGATGACCCATTGAGAATCGGATCAGTCAAGACCAACATCGGCCACACAGAAACGGCAAGCGGAGTTGCGGCCATCATCAAGGTCGCACTGGCGCTCGAGAAGGGTCAGATCCCGCCCACTGTCAACTATGAGAAGCCGAATGAGAAGCTGCGTTTGTACGACTGGAAGTTAAAGGTGAGTGATCCGGCCGTGGGCCTTCCCGGCATCAATTGGCCGAGACACGGAAACAAATGCTAATCAGCGCCTTCTCTCCCCTGCAGGTCCCCACTGAACTCGAGCCCTGGGATGGAAAGGAGGGCGTGAGGCGTGCGTCTATCAACAATTTTGGCTATGGCGGATCCAACGCTCATGTTATCATGGAAGACTTGGATTCCTTCACTGGTTCCCAACCCCTTCAGCAGGCTGCCAATCTCGACAATGCCAGCAGCCGGTCACGACGGAGCAGCAGTGCTCTCGAGTACCTGCCCCGGCGCCGAGTGTTCGTCTTGAGTGGCAAAGATGAGAGAGCTACCCAGGCCATGGTCTCCAATCTCAAGGACTACTTGCTCAACACCAAGATCACGGATGAAGATGGTTTCCTCGACAACCTTGCCTACACTCTGGGCCACCGTCGCTCGCGGTTCCCGTGGATCACGTCGGTTTCTGCTGACACGGTCGAGGCCCTGATCAAGATTCTCGATTCCCCAAAGGCAAAGCCTGCCAAGGCAGCAATCGCTTCTCCCAGGGTAGGATTTGTTTACAATGGCCAGGGCGCGCAGTGGTGGGCGATGGGCAGGGAGTTGATTGAGGTCTACCCCGTGTTCAAGGCCGCGTTGCTCGACTGCAACAAGCATCTAGAGAAACTCGGGGCAACTTGGAACATGATTGGTATGTTTTCTCCGTTCGTGCTGGAAATGCTAGGTTTCTAACACGCGTGTTTCTACAGAGGAGCTAAACCGAGATGCCGACACCTCCAAGGTCAATCAGCTGGACTACAGTACTCCCGTGTGCGTTGCCGTCCAGATCGCCCTCACAAACCTGCTCCGGGCTTGGGGTGTCACCCCCACAGCAGTCACGAGCCATTCGAGCGGAGAGATTGCCGCCGCTTATGCGGCCGGTGCTCTCGATCTCCAGTCGGCCATGGCCATCGCTTTTGCGCGTGGAGGCCTCGCTTCGGAGAGCAATCGTCAGATTGCCCGTCAGGGGGGCATGATGGCAGTGGGGCTTGGAGTCGAGGCCAGTCGGCGATTTCTCTCTCGCGCCACCACCGGCAAGGTCGTCGTGGCCTGTGAGAACAGTCCCAACTCTATTACTCTTTCCGGCGATGTCTGTGGTCTCGAGCAGCTCGAAAGGATGTTCCAGCAGGAGAATATCTTTGCGAGACGCCTCAAGGTGGACGCTGCCTGGCACTCGCATCATATGGAGGCTGTTGCAGAAGCCTATCACAGCGCTATGGACAAGAAGGTTCGGTCGCCGCAGGATCATCTCGACTTCATCTTCTCGTCGCCGTCGACTGGAACACGGATGGAGGATGCCCGCGAGATTGGAAGCCCTGCTCATTGGGTACGCAGTCTGACAGGACGCGTTCAGTTTGTCGACGCATTCCGCAACATGTGCTTCGACACCCCCGGCGCCGAGTTGTCTGTCGACATGGTGATCGAGGTTGGTCCACACGCGGCTCTCTCCGGGCCCATCCAAGAGATATTACGCATGCGCGAGTTCAATGGCGTTGTCATTCCATACGAGAGCTGCCTCGTCAGAAAGAAGCATGCGGTTGAGACCATGCATACACTCGTTAGCAGTCTCATCCAAAAGGGCTACCCAGTCAACCTTGCACCTGTCAATTTGCCCTATGGCCGAGAAGGTATCAAGGTGCTTCACGATCTTCCCAGATACCCCTGGAATCATCAAACCCGCCATTGGATCGAGCCACGATTCAACAAGGCCCTTCGCCATCGCCAAGAACCGCCTCACGATCTTCTTGGGTCTCTTGTTCTCGGAACAGATCTCAGTGCGCCCTCCTGGAGACACATTGTTCGCATGAGCGACATTCCGTGGGTTAGGGACCACGTTGTCCAATCCAATGTGATCTATCCAGCAGCCGGTTACATCTCGATGGCCATCGAGGGCATGGCCCAACACGCAGCGAGGCAAGGGCGCAAGGGCAGGGTTCTAGGCTACCAACTGCGAGATATCGACATCCTTAACGCCCTGGTTGTGCCCGAGACAGCTGACGGCATCGAGCTTCAGCTGTCATTTCGGCCATGCAGCGAAAAGGTCCTGGACATTAAGGGATGGACGGAGTTCAACGTGCAGTCTGTCAGCTCAGATAACATCTGGATGTACCATTGCAAAGGTCTGATCTCGGTCGAGCACTCATCTGGGGATGAGATGGGCTTTTGCCAAAACGCTTTGCCGGGTCATGGGTTCAAGCTCGCCCATCCCATGAACGAGTCCGCCTACAGAACCCGGGTCAGCCCACAAGACATGTATGCTGGCCTGCGATCAGGTGGCATCTGCCACGGGCCCATCTTCCAAAACATCAAGAGCATTCGAACTCGGGGTCAGCAATCTGTGACATCCTTCACAGTGGCCGACTCCAAAGCGACTATGCCCAAGCACCACCAACACGACCATGTCGTCCATCCCACCACGCTCGACTCCGTTTTCCAAGCTGCCTACACTGCCATCCCCGATTCGAGCAATGTTCGACAGACGCCCAAAGTGCCAAAGACTATCAGCAAGCTTTGGGTCTCCCATGATATCAACGCCCAGGCTGGACATTTCTTCAAGGCTTACACCAACCTGAGCCACATCGACAACCAATCCATGACAACGGGGCTCACGGTCTTTGAAAGCCCAGCAAATGAGATGATTGAGTCGATCGCGCCTGTTATCACGATTGACGGTTTCGTTTGTCAATCCATCGGAACCGCCCCGGTTCAGCAGACAGACTCATGGGAACAAGACAAGTTTACTACAACTCAATGGGTTCCGGACATTGGCCTTCTCAAGGAGGCATACTTGAAGGACAATCTCAGCAGTCATATCTCGGACCAAGAGAGAGACACCTTGATGGATCTACGCCAAGCATGTCTGTTTTTCATTCACGACGCTCTGGCTGAGCTCACGGCAGCTGACATCAAACGGTTGGAACGGCATCAGAGGAGGTTCTACATTTGGATGGGGCATCAGGCTGAGCTAGCCCGCACGAATCAGCTTGCCCCTGACAGCAGCCGGTGGATCAAGGCTCCGCTCAAAGAAAAGCTGGCATTGTTTGAGAAAGTCAGGTCAGGCAGCACCAACGGCGAGATGGTATGCAAGCTGGGCCCCCATATCGTGCCAATCCTTCGCAGCGAGATCACAGCTCTGGAAGTGATGCTTGAAAAGGACTTGCTCTCTCGCTACTATCTGGATGCTCTCAAATGGGGACGAACCAATGCGAAACTTGGAGAGCTGGTCAAGCTCTACGCGCAGAAGAACCCGCGAGCCAAGATGATTGAGATAGGGGCGGGAACTGGAGGGGCGACAAGCCATATCCTGCAGGGACTTGGAAACAGCAAGGAAGGGACCGGCCCCAATGTCGGCTCATACGACTTCACGGATGTGTCTTCTGGTTTCTTCGAAGCTGCCAAAGAGAAATTCCAGGACTGGAACAACGTGGTCAAGTACAAGAAGCTCGACATCGAGCAGGATCCAATGAAGCAAGGGTTTGAAGAGGGGGGCTATGATGTGGTGATAGCATGCCAGGTTCTTCATGCCACAAAGTCGATGAACAACACCATGGCGAATGTGAGAAGACTCTTGAAGCCTGGCGGCAAACTATTCCTGATGGAGACAACCAAGGACCCAGTTGATTTGCAATTCGTCTTTGGATTTCTTCCAGGCTGGTGGCTCAGTAAGTTCCCTATTCTGTCTCTTTCGCCCAATATTTACTAATATCTATTGCTTGTAGGCGAAGAGGAAGAGCGCAAGTTCAGCCCTTCACTTACCATCCCCATGTGGGACCGCGTCCTCAACCGCACAGGTTTCTCCGGAATCGACGCTGAGATCCGAGACTGTGACGATGACGATCTCTACGCATTCAGTGTCATGATGTCGACGGCTGCCACCGGTCCGCCCAAGTTCGACTTTGACATTGCTTTCGTCACAGCCAAACCAACTACGCCGAACCCCTGGCTTGACCAACTCGGCGTTTCTATTGGTCTTCTTACGTGGACGGTGCCAACCGTACATTCATTGGACTCTGTCACTGCCGATGACAACAGAGTTTGTATCTTTGTGGATGATTCAGAAAGCCCCATTCTCGCCAGTGCCGATCGCGCAGAGTTCGAGGGCCTCAAGACGCTTTCCACGAGATCCAAGGGTGTCCTATGGCTAACTCAAGGTGGGGCTATGGACTTCAAAACACCTCACGCTGGCCTTGCGGCCGGATTTCTCCGATCCCTTCGTCAAGAATATGTTGGCAAGCGGCTGGGGACTCTGGACCTCGACCCAACAAGACCCCTTTGCTCCGCAGAATCAGTGAGCTCCATCACCCAAGTCTTCCGCAGCTTCTTCAACTACTCAGACCTCGAAGCTGCTTCCGACTTTGAGTTCGCAGAGAGAAATGGTGTCATTTCGGTTCCCAGATACATCAAGGATGTTTGCCGAAACAACAATGTCTTCCGTCGCCCAGCCGAGCAGTCTGTACATCCACTGGAGCCATTCATACAACAGGACCGCCCTCTGCGTCTCACCATTGGTACGACTGGACTTCTCGACACCCTCGCCTTTGATGATGATGCCAGCGCACTCGAAGAACTGCCCGAGGACTTTGTCGAAATTGAGCCCAGAGCTTTTGGTGTCAACTTCCGCGACGTGATGGTTGCGATAGGTCAGCTGAAGTCTCGAGTCATGGGGTACGACTGTTCGGGTGTTGTTACTCGAGTCGGTTCTGTTGCTGCTGCGAATGGCTACAAACCTGGGGATCGTGTCTCAGTGCTGCTCAGGGGACACTACGGGAGCCGTACCAGGATTCACTGGACCAGTGCCGTTCACATTCCTGAGGACATGGGTTTTGAGACGGCTGCTTCGCTTCCCACTCAGTTTGTGGCCGCCTACGTTTCTCTCTATGACAATGCCAGACTTCAGAGAGGCGAGACTGTTCTCATTCACTCGGCCACGGGAGGTGTTGGTCAGGCGGCTGTGATGCTTGCCCAACGGGTTGGGGCCGAGGTTTTTGTCACAGTTGGCTCAGAGGAGAAGCGCAAGTTTGTTATGGAGCACTTTGGTATCCATTCCGATCACATCTTTTCAAGCCGTGATGTGTCTTTTGCCTCTGGTGTCAAGGAGATGACCGGTGGCAAAGGAGTGGACGTGGTACTGAACTCGCTTGCTGGGACGTTACTGCAGGCAAGCTTCAACTGCCTTGCACCGTTTGGCCGATTCGTCGAGATTGGGAAAAAGGATTTTGAGCTCAACAACAGTCTAGGAATGGAAGCTTTCACGAGAGCGGTTTCCTTTTCCAGTGTCGATGTCATCGCACTGGGTGAGTGCAAACCAATGGAAGCCAACCGGATCATGAAGGACATTGTGCGAATGGTTGCTGAGAAGGAGATCAATACAGTCTATCCCATCTCAGTCCTACCCCTTTCTGATGTTGAGAAGGCTTTCCGCCTGATGCAAGCTGGCAAACATATGGGAAAGATTGTGCTGGCCGTCGATGACGAGACCATGGTTCCGGTATGTTGACCCCTTTTCACATGATATTACATGGCCACTGACAATATTACCCTCCAGGTTGTCCCGCGCAAGTTAAACGCTCGCCTTCGCACCGACGCTTCGTATCTTGTGGTCGGTGGATTTGGCGGTATTGGGCGATCAGTGTGTCACTGGCTTGCGGAACATGGCGCCCAACACATCGCCGTCATGTCTCGCAGTGCAGATAGCTTTGGAAAGGCAGATCAGCTTCAGACCGAACTTATCAGCGCTGTTGGTCACCAGGTCAAGGTCGTGGGACTTGGCTGCGACATATCCAACATGAAGGAGCTCAACAGGGCGCTCGCAAAGTATGCCAGGACAGGAGCACCACCCATCAAGGGTGTCATCCACGGGGGAATGCAGCTTAAGGTATGAGAAGTCTTTTTCATTTACACAGCAGTTGCTAACCTCATCACAGGACTCTGTCCTGGACAACATGACTCTTGGGGACCACAATGCCGCCCTCCATCCCAAGCTGCACGGCAGTTGGAACCTGCACCAGTACTTTTCTGGTGAGGGCGATCTCGACTTTTACATCATGCTCTCCTCACTTGTCGGCGTTGTTGGCTTCGCCAGTCAGTCCAACTACTCAGCTGGTGGCACCTTCCAGGATGCACTTGCTCAGCATCGAGTGGCGCGTGGTCTACCAGCGGTTTCCATCGATCTAGGCATTGTCAAGTCTGTGGGGTATCTGGCGGAAGAACAAGAGTCTGCCAAAACCATCGAAGCACTCCAGCGACATGGCTTCACGGGTCTGCGCGAGAGCGAGATCCTTGCTGCCATCGACTCGGCGATCTCGACCCCCCTTGCGGGAGCCCTCATGCTCGGCATCAACACTGGGCCAGCGGGACAGACAGAGGACTCTCCTCTGCGGCGGGACGCGCGCTTCTCGCAGCTTCGGTACCAGAAGACGGAACAGGAGGGCAGCCAGATGTCCAACAAATCTGGATCTGGTGATTTGGCGAGCAAGCTAGCATCCGCCTCGACATTCGACGATGCAGCGGAGGCTGTGGTGGGCGGGATTACCAAGAAGCTGGTGGACATTTTCATGATCCCGGAGGACGATATCATCCCCTCGAAGTCGTTGGCGGACTTTGGTGTGGATTCTCTTGTTGCGGTGGAGCTCCGCAACATGCTGTCCATGAAGGCTGGGGCAGACCTGTCGATCTTTGATATCATGCAGAGCCCATCTATCACTGCTCTAGCGGGGGCGGTGGCAGCCAGGAGTAGTCATGTCGATACCGCCATTCTGAGGGGTTGAGGTCGATGTTGTTGCGGCGGGTTGGCTACATTGTTTTGCTGTCAGTATTGTGTGTGTTTGCGTGTTTTCTCTTCTCTGGTAATTTTCATGTTGGTTGTAGTTTTTGTACCATTTTGGTTGGATTGTCTATGTGGTTTGGTTTGGTTGTTTGCTTTAGAAAGCCGGATCATGGAGTTCTTGGATGGTTTTTTAGGATTTTTAACCGCATTGAGCCAACTGGCTGGTTTGGCATCTTGAACCAATTCTCATTGCTCCTCCTTGCTTCGACTGTGGGGTGTTGAGATCTTGTTTGCACCAGTTCTGACTTGGTTGGACCTTGGGCACCTTGGGTACCTTGATGGCCAGCCCGTTGATAGCGAATGGTTACAAAACGTTTCCTGTCCCAACGTGCACCATTGCGGGTCGTTTGACACCAGACTCACGAACTGTCTGTCAGCTGAGCAGCTCTGGCAGTGGAGCTGCGTTTGTCGATCATCTTGCAGATCCCCGACGCCCGATCGTGCTTGCAGCATGTTGAGTTGTGATCTGGCCATCCTTGCTGCTAGCACGCCCGGGCGATGAGCACAAACTTCCGATGTGCCCCGATTTGTCGAAATCTGACAACTTTGAGGTGGTATCAGCAAATCCGACACCATGGTCAAGTGTTGTTTGTTGGCGAAATATGTCGATCATTTCACCTTGTTTGTTGCTGACCACCCCTTTTTTCTCGCACTTTTTCCAAATCACGACATATGCCAGGCAGATTGATTGGAAATGCTGTCCTGGATGAGTATAGGATGACGACGTGTTGCTTACGATGATGTCTTGGGTACCAACGAGCCGGTACGAACTGATGCGGTGCAACCCTGAAGATGCAACTGCCATTTGACGTCCAGCTTGACCTGATGCCCGACCTCCATGTCATACCACACGTTTGTTTTTTTCTGCTTGTCAGACTACATACCTAGGTATCCAAGTCTGTTTAATGGTGAATGATGGAGAAAGCCGCGCAGATAAGAAGTATTGATGGAGGGTCCTGTCAGGGGGCCGTCTGCGAACCAAGCAAGGGTGTCGATCATGTACGCATGACTGAGCTTGAATAGGTGGGGTTGGCATCGTCGCATCATGAGGCAAGATCTCATTCATCATGAAGTGTCTTTCAAGGGGCTTTCTATGTCCCTATCTAAATCTGTCTTGAATGCTCACGAATCAACACGCAACCATACCAGTCCTGAATCCCCGAGCCCCCTGGCTGTGCGGTGTATTGCCAAACAACCATACATGACATTGAAACAGACTCTCAGCATGATGATGGACGGATATCTTATTGGTTGGGTATCCCTTCGCACATATTACAAAGCCTGATATTATAACGTATTTGATAAGCGAGCGGATCGGACAAGCGAGTGGATCGATTTCCACTACCCTATTACAACCATCCTCAATTGCAAAACAACAACACTATTAACCTACTACAATTACATCAGAAACAGCTGAATCAGACTCTTCTGCAACCTCCTGGCACGTACGGATATTATGGCCAGGCTTGCCGCACACACCACAGCACTGAACCTTCGTACGCCTTCCCCCTACACTACCACTACCCTGCTCCTTTCCTTGCGCCACCTCTCCACCCACAGCCTTCTGGTCCAGTAGATCCTGTGCATCTTATATAGTAAGTGATCCTCTAAGCTATACGCGTATTTTTTTTGCTCTCCGGCGCTTACTTAGTGCCTCGTTCGCCTTACGGAGCGAAGATACCTCTAACTAAAGGAGAGCTACTTAATATATTATAATTATTATACCTTTAATAAGCTGGTCTACCGTAACTAATATTAAAGTCGGGGAACTATTTTAATAATTAATAATGCGAGTTTTAATAAACGTTAATTATAAATTAGTTTTTCGGGGGTTTTATAGTATTTAAAATACTTAAAGTAGTTACCGTTCCCGTTTTAAAGATATGGGTATAAACGTATAAAACTTTATATTTAATTTAAAAAGTACCTTCTTTAAATCGTATAGTATAAAACTAATACCTATAAAACTACTCTATATATTCTTCTCCGTTATAAAAGTAAAAAAAGCTTCGCGGAAAATATAAAGAAATTTAAGTTTATTTACGTAATTAATATTATTATATATATTAGACTTTTGTTTTTTCGGCCGTATGTTTATTTTAGTGGCGGGGAAGTAATTTATATTGAGTAGTTGGAGGATTTATGAGTAGTTTAGAGGTATATAGAGGGGTGTAATATTATGTTTATTAATATATAGTGTTTTAAATTTAATTAAATAGTAATTTTTCGTAATTTATCTGAGGATTAATAACTGATATTTATTATTTATTAGGGAAGTTATATTATAATTAAAATTTTTTTTTTAATTTAGGTTTTTCGGTTTTATTATTTTTTTTTTTTTTTTTATCCTAATCTCCCACCCCCCCCCCCCCTGATATGTAATATATTAATTAATAAAATAATATTATACGGTTAAAATAATAAAGGATAGGATAGCTTAACCGAGGGTATTAATTCCCTAAATTACTATTATTTATTCGCGGTTATTAAATTAAACTAATTTTATTTTATTAAAGCCCTTTCAG